TCCCTAGTTGCATCCCTCCCTTGCATCCCTCCCTCGTTGCATCCCTCCGCATCCCTCCTCGTTGCATCCCTCCCTCGTTGCATCCCTCCCTCGTTGCATCCCTCCCTCGTTGCATCCCTCCCTCGTTGCATCCCTCCCTCGTTGCATCCCTCCCTCGTTGCATCCCTCCCTAGTTGCATCCCTCCCTAGTTGCATCCCTCCCTAGTTGCATCCCTCCCTAGTTGCATCCCTCCCTAGTTGCATCCCTCCCTCGTTGCATCCCTCCCTCGTTGCATCCCTCCCTCGTTGCATCCCTCCCTCGTTGCATCCCTCCCTCGTTGCATCCCTCCCTCGTTGCATCCCTCCCTAGTTGCATCCCTCCCTCGTTGCATCCCTCCCTCGTTGCATCCCTCCCTCGTTGCATCCCTCCCTCGTTGCATCCCTCCCTCGTTGCATCCCTCCCTCGTTGCATCCCTCCCTAGTTGCATCCCTCCCTAGTTGCATCCCTCCCTAGTTGCATCCCTCCCTCGTTGCATCCCTCCCTCGTTGCATCCCTCCCTCGTTGCATCCCTCCCTCGTTGCATCCCTCCCTAGTTGCATCCCTCCCTAGTTGCATCCCTCCCTCGTTGCATCCCTCCCTCGTTGCATCCCTCCCTAGTTGCATCCCTCCCTAGTTGCATCCCTCCCTCGTTGCATCCCTCCCTCGTTGCATCCCTCCCGCGTTGCATCCCTCCCTCGTTGCATCCCTCCCTCGTTGCATCCCTCCCTAGTTGCATCCCTCCCTCGTTGCATCCCTCCCTCGTTGCATCCCTCCCTCGTTGCATCCCTCCCTCGTTGCATCCCTCCCTAGTTGCATCCCTCCCTAGTTGCATCCCTCCCTCGTTGCATCCCTCCCTCGTTGCATCCCTCCCGCGTTGCATCCCTCCCTCGTTGCATCCCTCCCTCGTTGCATCCCTCCCTCGTTGCATCCCTCCCTCGTTGCATCCCTCCCTCGTTGCATCCCTCCCGCGTTGCATCCCTCCCTCGTTGCATCCCTCCCTCGTTGCATCCCTCCCTAGTTGCATCCCTCCCTCGTTGCATCCCTCCCTCGTTGCATCCCTCCCTCGTTGCATCCCTCCCTAGTTGCATCCCTCCCTCGTTGCATCCCTCCCTCGTTGCATCCCTCCCTCGTTGCATCCCTCCCTCGTTGCATCCCTCCCTAGTTGCATCCCTCCCTAGTTGCATCCCTCCCTCGTTGCATCCCTCCCTCGTTGCATCCCTCCCGCGTTGCATCCCTCCCGCGTTGCATCCCTCCCTCGTTGCATCCCTCCCTCGTTGCATCCCTCCCTCGTTGCATCCCTCCCTCGTTGCATCCCTCCCGCTTTGCATCCCTCCCTCGTTGCATCCCTCCCTCGTTGCATCCCTCCCTAGTTGCATCCCTCCCTCGTTGCATCCCTCCCTAGTTGCATCCCTCCCTCGTTGCATCCCTCCCTAGTTGCATCCCTCCCTAGTTGCATCCCTCCCTCGTTGCATCCCTCCCTAGTTGCATCCCTCCCTCGTTGCATCCCTCCCTCGTTGCATTGCATCCCTCCCTCGTTGCATCCCTCCCTCGTTGCATCCCTCCCTAGTTGCATCCCTCCCTAGTTGCATCCCTCCCTCGTTGCATCCCTCCCTCGTTGCATCCCTCCCGCGTTGCATCCCTCCCGCGTTGCATCCCTCCCTCGTTGCATCCCTCCCTCGTTGCATCCCTCCCTCGTTGCATCCCTCCCTCGTTGCATCCCTCCCTCGTTGCATCCCTCCCTCGTTGCATCCCTCCCGCGTTGCATCCCTCCCCCGTTGCATCCCTCCCTCGTTGCATCCCTCCCTCGTTGCATCCCTCCCTCGTTGCATCCCTCCCTCGTTGCATCCCTCCCTAGTTGCATCCCTCCCTCGTTGCATCCCTCCCTCGTTGCATCCCTCCCTCGTTGCATCCCTCCCTCGTTGCATCCCTCCCTCGTTGCATCCCTCCCTCGTTGCATCCCTCCCTCGTTGCATCCCTCCCTAGTTGCATCCCTCCCTAGTTGCATCCCTCCCTCGTTGCATCCCTCCCTAGTTGCATCCCTCCCTCGTTGCATCCCTCCCTCGTTGCATCCCTCCCTAGTTGCATCCCTCCCTCGTTGCATCCCTCCCTAGTTGCATCCCTCCCTCGTTGCATCCCTCCCTCGTTGCATCCCTCCCTCGTTGCATCCCTCCCTCGTTGCATCCCTCCCTCGTTGCATCCCTCCCTCGTTGCATCCCTCCCTCGTTGCATCCTCCCTAGTTGCATCCCTCCCTAGTTGCATCCCTCCCTCGTTGCATCCCTCCCTCGTTGCATCCCTCCCGCGTTGCATCCCTCCCGCGTTGCATCCCTCCCTCGTTGCATCCCTCCCGCGTTGCATCCCTCCCGCGTTGCATCCCTCCCTCGTTGCATCCCTCCCTAGTTGCATCCCTCCCTCGTTGCATCCCTCCCTCGTTGCATCCCTCCCTAGTTGCATCCCTCCCTCGTTGCATCCCTCCCTAGTTGCATCCCTCCCTAGTTGGATCCCTCCCTCGTTGCATCCCTCCCTCGTTGCATCCCTCCCTCGTTGCATCCCTCCCTCGTTGCATCCCTCCCTAGTTGCATCCCTCCCTAGTTGCATCCCTCCCTCGTTGCATCCCTCCCTAGTTGCATCCCTCCCTCGTTGCAATCCCTCCCTCGTTGCATCCCTCCCTTCGTTGCATCCCTCCCTCGTTGCATCCCTCCCTAGTTGCATCCCTCCCTAGTTGCATCCCTCCCTCGTTGCATCCCTCCCTAGTTGCATCCCTCCCTCGTTGCATCCCTCCCTCGTTGCATCCCTCCCTCGTTGCATCCCTCCCTCGTTGCATCCCTCCCTCGTTGCATCCCTCCCTCGTTGCATCCCTCCCTAGTTGCATCCCTCCCTCGTTGCATCCCTCCCTCGTTGCATCCCTCCCTCGTTGCATCCCTCCCTCGTTGCATCCCTCCCTCGTTGCATCCCTCCCTCGTTGCATCCCTCCCTAGTTGCATCCCTCCCTAGTTGCATCCCTCCCTCGTTGCATCCCTCCCTCGTTGCATCCCTCCCGCGTTGCATCCCTCCCGCGTTGCATCCCTCCCTCGTTGCATCCCTCCCGCGTTGCATCCCTCCCGCGTTGCATCCCTCCCTCGTTGCATCCCTCCCTAGTTGCATCCCTCCCTCGTTGCATCCCTCCCTCGTTGCATCCCTCCCTAGTTGCATCCCTCCCTCGTTGCATCCCTCCCTAGTTGCATCCCTCCCTAGTTGCATCCCTCCCTCGTTGCATCCCTCCCTCGTTGCATCCCTCCCTCGTTGCATCCCTCCCTCGTTGCATCCCTCCCTAGTTGCATCCCTCCCTAGTTGCATCCCTCCCTCGTTGCATCCCTCCCTAGTTGCATCCCTCCCTCGTTGCATCCCTCCCTCGTTGCATCCCTCCCTCGTTGCATCCCTCCCTCGTTGCATCCCTCCCTAGTTGCATCCCTCCCTAGTTGCATCCCTCCCTCGTTGCATCCCTCCCTCGTTGCATCCCTCCCGCGTTGCATCCCTCCCGCGTTGCATCCCTCCTCGTTGCATCCCTCCCTCGTTGCATCCCTCCCTCGTTGCATCCCCCTCCCTCTCGTTGCATCCCTCCCTCGTTGCATCCCTCCCTCGTTGCATCCCTCCCTAGTTGCATCCCTCCCTCGTTGCATCCCTCCCTAGTTGCATCCCTCCCTCGTTGCATCCCTCCCTCGTTGCATCCCTCCCTAGTTGCATCCCTCCCTAGTTGCATCCCTCCCTCGTTGCATCCCTCCCTAGTTGCATCCCTCCCTCGTTGCATCCCTCCCTCGTTGCATCCCTCCCTCGTTGCATCCCTCCCTCGTTGCATCCCTCCCTAGTTGCATCCCTCCCTAGTTGCATCCCTCCCTCGTTGCATCCCTCCCTCGTTGCATCCCTCCCGCGTTGCATCCCTCCCGCGTTGCATCCCTCCCTCGTTGCATCCCTCCCTCGTTGCATCCCTCCCTCGTTGCATCCCTCCCTCGTTGCATCCCTCCCTCGTTGCATCCCTCCCTCGTTGCATCCCTCCCTCGTTGCATCCCTCCCGCGTTGCATCCCTCCCGCGTTGCATCCCTCCCGCGTTGCATCCCTCCCTCGTTGCATCCCTCCCTCGTTGCATCCCTCAATGCACACGCCGTGAGTTTGGTTCGGCCCCTCTCTCTGGGTTTTCTGGGTCCTGGCCACGTCAATGTCCCTCCCACGCTAGGGATCCGACCCTCTCCGCCCTGCTGCTTGCCAGTAGCACTACCAGCTCTAACACTCCTTTTGAGTCGACTCAAAAGCCAGTAGCACTACCAGCTCTAACGATCCCATCCCACATGTTCTGCCATTCATCCGCTCTCCCCTCTTACCTCTCCCCTCTTACTTCTCCCCTCTTACCTCTCCCCTCTTACCTCTCCCCTCTTACCTCTCCCCTCTTACCTCTCCCCTCTTACCTCTCCCCTCTTACCTCTCCCCTCTTACCTCTCCCCTCTTACCTCTCCCCTCTTACCTCTCCCCTCTTACCTCTCCCCTCTTACCTCTTCCCCCTCCTACCGTTGCAGCAGGGCCTAGTTTTGAGGCGCCTCAAAACTAGACTCCTATCACGCGGATTTTGAGGCGCCTCAAAACTGCCATCCATCCTCTCTCCCTTCTTAGCCTCTTACCACTTCCTCCTCCTACCGTTGCAGCAGGGCCGTCTGTCCGCCCCTCTCCCCACTCTCTACGGCACCACCGATCCCACTCTCTCCGCCCTGCTGCTTGCTAGTGGCGCCAGCTGCATTGGACTCACCCTCTCTCCCCCCCCTCCCTCCCCTCCTAGTTCTCTCCCCCCGTACATCAGGACCGTATCGCCCCTCTCCCCACTCTCTCTACCGCACCACTAATCCCACTCTCTCTGCACTGCTGCTTGCTAGTGGCACCAACCCCTCCATTCACCCTCTCCTCTCTTACCTTTTCCTTCCCTCCCCCCAACCCAACCCCCAACCCGCCTTGCACCAGGGTCCGTCAGCCCCTCTCCCCACTCTCTATGGCACCACGGATCCCACTCTCTCTGCGCTGCTGCTTGCTAGTGGCGCCAACCCCTCCAACCCTGTGCTTGCTGCAAACGCTCTCTCTGCCAACCCCCTCTCTGCTGCGGCGCTCTCTGCTGCTGCCTCTCCCCTGCGCCACTTGGCTGCTGGGGGTGGATTGCCCACTGATCCGCTGCTCTTGCGGTGAGTGTTTCACATGTTGTTCTAAACGCTGCTGCTGCTCCTCTCTCTGCTGCTCCTCGCTCTGCTGCTCCTCTCTCTGCTGCTCCTCTCTCTGCTGCTCCTCTCTCTGCTGCTCCCCTCTCTGCTGCTCCCCTCTCTGCTGCTCCTCTCTCTGCTGCTCCTCTCTCTGCTGCTCCTCTCTCTGCTGCTCCTCTCTCTGCTGCTCCTCTCTCTGCTGCTCCTCTCTCTGCTGCTCCTCTCTCTGCTGCTCCTCTCTCTGCTGCTCCTCTCTCTGCTGCTCCTCTCTCTGCTGCTCCTCTCTCTGCTGCTCCTCTCTCTGCTGCTCCTCTCTCTGCTGCTCCTCTCTCTGCTGCTCCTCTCTCTGCTGCTCCTCTCTCTGCTGCTCCTCTCTCTGCTGCTCCCCTCTCTACTGGTCTGCTCTCTGCTGCTGCCTCTCCTGTGCGCCACTTGGCTTCTGGGGGTGGTCTTTCCAATTACCCGGTGCTGCTGCGGTGAGTGTCCATGCTGGGTCGCATACTGTTGCTATCTCTGCTGCTCCGCTCTCTCTGCTAACCCCCTCTCTGCTGCTGCCTCTCCCCTGCGCCACTTGGCTGCTGGGGTTGGTCTTTCCAATGACCCGCTGCTGCTGCGGTGAGTACCTTTAGGCCTTGGCTGCTGCTGCTGCTGCTGCCGCCGCCGCCGTCGCCGCCGCTGCCAAGGTTATTCTGAGTGCTCAGTTGTTTCTTTCATACAACTTCTGCGGTTTTTGGTTCACTCTCTAAAAATGCTGTCCATGTGCATCACTCTCCTCCCCTTCCCCAGACTCGCTCTGGCACAGGCAGGGCAGCCCTACGACCCAGCCTACCTCTCAGCAGCAACAGCAGCGGCGGCAGCAGCAGGCACAGGGTTGAATCCGTTTAGCTCGGTCCTACACCCGGCCACTGCTCTCCCCCCCATCTACTCCTCTCCTTTGGCCTACCCCAGCTTGCAGCCGGCCCTACTGGGCTATTCTCCCGCTCAGCAGCAGCTGCTGCTGCAGCAACAGCAGCAGTTGCAGCAGCTGCAGCATCAGCAACAGCAACAGCCGCAGCAGCCACTGCAACAGCAATTGCTGCAAGCACCCCCGCAGCAGCAAGCAGCGATGCAGCAGCAATGGCAGCAGCAGCCCCAAGCACAGCAGCAGCCACAACCGCCACCACAGCAGCACTGGCAGCAGCAGCAGCAGCAGCAGCCGCAGCAACAGTATATTGCTCAGCAGCAGCAGCCACAGCAGCCGCCACAGCAGCAGTATCTGCAGCAGCCGCAACAATCCCCACCACCACCCATGCAGCAACAGCAACAACATTACCAGCAGCAGCAGCAGCAGCAGCAGCAGCAGCAGCAGTACCAGCCACTGCAGCAGCAGCAGCAGCAGCAGCCACAGCAGCAGCAGAACGTTGAGCCTGAAATGTCTCTTAAGGGCGGATTTTTACCTGCTTCCTCTGCCACTCCTGGTGCTTTTTTCACTGCTGCTGGTACTGCTGCTGGTGCGCTTGGCCCTGAGGCCTCCATGGGTAACAGGATGGGAGGAGGAGGAGGAGGAGGAAGCATGGGAATGCAGCAGCAGCAGCAGGGGGGGGTGGATGGGGCGGGAAGCATGGGTATGGGGCAAGGGCAGGCGATGGGGCATGCAGGTGGCGATGGGGCTGCTGTGGACTTCAGTGCCAGCACAGCAGGGGGAGCAGCAGGCATGGGGGGGCCTGGGGCGAGCATGGGAGGGGCGGGTGACCCTGCTGCTAGCTGGGGTGGTGGCCTGGCACCAATAAACGAGGACGAGGGTGAGTGCTGGATGCATGAATGTCAGGGTGAGTGCTGGATGCATGAATGTCAGGGTGAGTGCTGGATGCATGAATGTGAGGGTGAGTGCTGGATGCATGAATGTCAGGGTGAGTGCTGGATGCATGAATGTCAGGGTGAGTGCTGGATGCATGAATGTCAGGGTGAGTGCTGGATGCATGAATGTCAGGGTGAGTGCTGGATGCATGAATGTCAGGGTGAGTGCTGGATGCATGAATGTGAGGGTGAGTGCTGGATGCATGAATGTGAGGGTGAGTGCTGGATGCATGAATGTGAGGGTGAGTGCTGGATGCATGAATGTCAGGGTGAGTGCTGGATGCATGAATGTCAGGGTGAGTGCTGGATGCATGAATGTCAGGATGAGTGCTGGATGCATGAATGTCAGGGTGAGTGCTGGATGCATGAATGTCAGGGTGAGTGCTGGATGCATGAATGTCAGGGTGAGTGCTGGATGCATGAATGTCAGGGTGAGTGCTGGATGCATGAATGTCAGGGTGAGTGCTGGATGCATGAATGTCAGGGTGAGTGCTGGATGCATGAATGTCAGGGTGAGTGCTGGATGCATGAATGTCAGGGTGAGTGCTGGATGCATGAATGTGAGGGTGAGTGCTGGATGCATGAATGTGAGGGTGAGTGCTGGATGCATGAATGTGAGGGTGAGTGCTGGATGCATGAATGTGAGGGTGAGTGCTGGATGCATGAATGTCAGGGTGAGTGCTGGATGCATGAATGTGAGGGTGAGTGCTGGATGCATGAATGTGAGAGTGAGTGCTGGATGCATGAATGTGAGAGTGAGTGCTGGATGCATGAATGTGAGAGTGAGTGCTGGATGCATGAATGTGAGAGTGAGTGCTGGATGCATGAATGTGAGGGTGAGTGCTGGATGCATGAATGTCAGGGTGAGTGCTGGATGCATGAATGTGAGGGTGAGTGCTGGATGCATGAATGTGAGGGTGAGTGCTGGATGCATGAATGTGAGAGTGAGTGCTGGATGCATGAATGTGAGAGTGAGTGCTGGATGCATGAATGTGAGAGTGAGTGCTGGATGCATGAATGTGAGAGTGGGTGTGGGGCAAGACGTGAGGAGTGGTAGGGGCAAGCACTGGGGCGAGCATGGGGTGACGCTGCTGCTATCTGGGGTGGTGGCCTGGCGCCGATAAACGAGGATGAGGGTGAGTGTTGGGCAAGACATGGTTGGGGAGGGTGGGGAAAGAGGTGAGGATGAGGGTGGGTGTTGGGCAAGAAATGATTGGGGAGTGTGGGGGGCAAGGCCAGAGGGTGAGGGCAAGGCCAGAGGGCGAGGGCAAGGCCAGAGTGCGAGGTCAAGTCACGTGGGTGAGGGTGCGTGTGGTGGCAAGGATCATGCCCATTGCTTTATTTGATTCTGTTCCAACCCATTAATTTCCCAGTAACTCCTTTCACCCCGCGTGAGGAGACTATTTTTGAGGCGCCTCAAAAATAGACTCCTCACGTGGGTGAGGGTGCGTGTGGTGGCAAGGATCCTTGCTAGCCCCATTAATTGCTAGCAAGGATCATGCCCATTGCTTCATTTGATTCTGTTCCAACCAGTATCAAATGAAACCAAATGAAATCAAATGAAATCAAATGAAATCAAATGAAATTAATTTCCCAGTAACTCCTTTCACCCCACTGCCCGCCCCCCCACCCCCCACCCCCTCCCCCCTCTTCACTTACTGTTCCTCCCGACCCCCCTCCTCCTCATCCTCCACCTTCCCCTCACCTCCTTACTCCTGAAATACTTCCTGATCGCAGGGCAAGGCTTGGTCAACAACTACACTGAGCCTCAGCTGCAGCAGCAGCAGCAGCAACAGCAGCAGCAGGATTTCCAGCAGCAGCAGCAAGAGTATCAGCAGCCGCAGGAGTATCAGCAGCCGCAGGAGTATCAAGCACAGCAGGTTTACCAGGGGCAGATGGCTGATCAGGGTGGCATGGACCCCAATATGGATCCCTCCCAGCAGCATGCTCTCCAGCAGGAGGAGGGGCAGCAGCAGGTGCAGTATGCACAGGACGACTACCAGCAGCAGCAGCAGCAGCAGCAGCAGCAGGATTACCAGCAGCAGCAGCAAGAGTACCAGCAGCAAGACTACCAGCAGCAGGATTATCAGCAGCAGCTTGAGCAGCAGCAGCAGGAGTACCAGGGGCAGGAGTATCAGCAGCAAGGGGGGGAGGACGCAGGGCAGCAGGAGGGAGCAGCGGAGGGGCAAGGGGGGGAGGAGGAGGAGGAGGGGGAGGAGCTGCTGCCGGGGATAGAGGGGCTGAGGGTGATAGGCGATGCTGCCATGGGCAACAAGCTCACGGCATGTGGCCACTCTGTCAACGGCACCAAGCTCTGCGTCTTCCAGGTTTGCTGTCCCCTTTTACATCCCCCCCCCCCCCCGCACACACACACACTCTTTTTCCTCACAGGCTCTCTGTCTCGTATTGATGCACCTGAGATCCATGTCATGTCTCGATGTCATGTCTCGATGTCGTGTCTCAATGTCTTGTCTCAATGTCATGCCTCAATGTCTTGTCTCAATGTCATGTCTTGATTCCCCGCCTTACTCGGACGTTGCATCATCTTCTGAGAGCTCTCTGAGGTTTGTGTTTTTTTTTTTTATGTCTCAAAACACGATTCGTTGTGCCACATGCTCAAAGTTGTGTCTGTGTACGTACGCTGCTCTCGCCCGCTGCCTTGTGTGCTGCAGTGGGTGCGTCAGTGTCTAGACGGCTCTGCTCAGTTCTTTTCATAATCGACTGAAAGCCCTCATTGTGTGCGCTGCTCTCGCCTGCTGCCTTGTGTGCTGCAGTGGGTGCGGCAGTACCAAGACGGCACTGCTGAATTCATCGAAGGTGACCCTCTCACCCTCCTCGCCTCTCACCCTCCTCGCCTCTCACCCTCCTCGCCTCTCACCCTCCTTGCCTCTCACCCTCCTCGCCTCTCACCCTCCTCGCCTCTCACCCTCCTCGCCTCTCACCCTCCTCGCCTCTCACCCTCCTCGCCTCTCACCCTCCTCGCCTCTCACCCTCCTCGCCTCTCACCCTCCTCGCCTCTCACCCTCCTCGCCTCTCACCCTCCTCGCCTCTCACCCTCCTCGCCTCTCAACCTCCTCGCCTCTCAACCTCCTCGCCTCTCAACCTCCTCGCCTCTCAACCTCCTCGCCCACTCACCCTCCTTGAGCCGAGTCTATTTTTTAGGAGCCTCAAAAATAGACTCCCCACCCTCCTTGCCCACTCGCCTCCTGTAAACAAGCAAGTCGTATATAGCATGTATCCTCTCTGCTTTCTTCTCTCTCCTCTATCCTCCTCTCTCCTCTCTCCTCTCTCCTCTCTCCTCTCTCTCTCTCTCTCTCCTCTCACCTCTCTCCTTTCTCCACTATCCTCCTCTCTCTCCTCTCCTCTCTCCTCCTCCCCTCTCCTCTCTCCTCTCTCCTCTCTCCTCTCTCCTCTCTCCTCCTCTCTCCTCCTCTCTCCTCTCTCCTCTCTCCTCTCTCCCCTCTCCTCTCTCCCCTCTCCTATCTCCTCTCTCCTCTCTCCTCTCTCCTCTCTCCTCCTCTCTCCTCTCTCCTCTCTCCTCTCTCCTCTCTCCCGTCTCCTCTCTCCTCTCTCCTATCTCCTCTCTCCTCTCTCCTCTCTCCTCTCTCCTCTCTCCTCTCTCCTCTCCCCTCTCTCTCCTCTCTCTCCCCTCGATCTTATCTCCTCACTCACAAATCTCTCTCCCCACATTTGTCTCCTCCCCTCTCCTAACCGCACAGGGGCACCATCCACGCAGTGTCAGCGGATGACTAAAACGCCATCATCGCTCCCCTCTCTCCTCCCTCTCCTCTCTCTCCTCCACTCTCCTCTCTCCCCTCGGCTTCTCCCTCCCCAACCTCCTCTCGCCCCCTCTCCCCTCATCTCCACAGGAGCATCATCCCCTGAGTATGCGGTGACAGTGGATGTATTTTGAGTCGACTCAAAATACACCTGAGTGTGCGGTGACAGTGGATGACTGCGATGAAATCGAGCCTCACCTCCCACTTCCCTCTCCCCTCTCCCCTCGCTGTCTTCACTCCTCAACCACTCTGCACACCTCCCGCAGGAGCATCATCCCCAGAGTACGCAGTGTCAGCTGATGACTAAAATGCCATCATCATTCTCCACTCTCCTCTCCTCTTCTCTCCCCCCACCCTCCTTTTGCCCCTCTCCCCTTGTCTCCACAGGAGCATCATCCCCCGAGTATGCGGTGTCAGCGGATGACTGCAATGCCATCACCATTCTCCACTCTCCTCTCTTCTTCTCTCCCCCCATCCTCCTCTCGCCCCCTCTCCCCTCGTCTCCACAGGAGCGTCATCACCTGAGTATGCGGTGTCAGCCGATGACTGCAACGCCATCATCGCGGTGGAGTGTGTGCCGCTGGACGAGGCGGGCAGAAGGGTGAGTGCGTTTGGGGGGCGGTGAGGGTGAGTGTGCCACTGACTGTGCGTGCTTGAGTGTGTGCCCCTGACTGTGTTTATGTGATGAAAGTGAGAACGTAGGGAGCTAGGGCTGTTTCATGCATGTCAGGAGATCATGCCATGCATGTCTTGCCATGCCATACCATGCTATACCACGCCATACCATGCCATACCATGCCATACCATGCTATACCATGCCATACCATGCCATACCCTGCTATACCATGCTATACCACGCCATACCATGCCATACCATGCTATACCATGCTATACCATGCCATGCCTGTCTTCCCTGCGTAATCTCCTTCATCTCCCCCTGTGTTGCCTGCAGGGAGAGTTGTCTCGAGTGGTGGTCAATGAAGGCAACTTGATCCAACTCGGTAAGTCAATAGCATCACAACTTGATACGGGTACGATCCAGTATCATAAAGAACCTAGGAGGAGTATAATCCCGTAGACGCACAACTGACTAAGAGCGTGAGGAGTCTATTTTTGAGGCGCCTCAAAAATAGACTCCTCACGCATGACTAAGAGCACAGCACGGAATGGGAATGATACTGACACATGGCAGTCCTTCTGTCTCTCTCTCACCATGAGGATCACTTTTTAGGGTGACACGGATATGGCAGGAAGGTGCCAGCTGATTTCTGTGTCTTGTCGCCTCGCTTTCACCCCCCCATCTAGACATGGTCAAAATGCGAGGCGAGGCGATGCGATATCGCATCGCATTTCGACGTATCGCGCATTATATCGCAGCGATGCGATATCGCATCGCCGCGATATTAAAAAAAAATAAAAAAAAATCGCGCGATATTAAAAAAAAACATCGCCGCGATATTAAAAAAAAAAAACCAAAATCGCATATCGCGTTTTAGGTGCGATATTTGTAAATATCGCGCTGTAGAGTGCGATATCTCGCGCGATGCGATAAAATATCGCATCGCCAGGGCTAAATTTCAGGGTTATGTAAACTTCAGCAGCAATTTGGATAGTTAGATAACTGAGAACTTCCGAAGGGTTTCAAACAGGGGCACGACACACCATTACAACGTCGGTTCTAATAAATAAACAGCAAAAAAAAGTTGACGAGCTCCAAATATCGCGGGCGATTTTTTTGATATCGCAAATCGCATTTTATCGCGCCCAAAAAGGTGCGATATAAACGCAATATCGCAAAAATCGCGCGATATAATCGCATCGCATCGCCGCAATATTTGTAAAATAAAAAATAAAAATTGCAATCGCAAAATGCGATATAATGCGATGTGATGTGATATGACCATGTCTACCCCCATCACACAGAGCCCCCCACGGTGCAGGAGCCGCTGGCTGGCTGGCTGGCCAAGGGCTCCGCACATCACCCTTCCCTCGTCTCATGCTGTCCCCACCTCTGCCTCCTTCTCCCCCCCCTCCCCCCTCCCCCCTTCCCCCTCGCCCCTCCCCCCTTCCCCCTCGCCCCTCGCCCCTCGCCCCTCGCCCCTCACCCCTCACCCCTCACCCCTCACCCCTCACCCCTCACCCCTCACCCCTCACCCCTCACCCCTCACCCCTCCCCGCTTCCCCCTCGTCCCTCGCCCCTCGCCCCTCACCCCTCGCCCCTGTGCACAGAGCCCACGGTGCAGGAGCCGCTGGCAGGGTGGCTGGCCGAGGGCTCCGCACATCGCCCTTCCCTTATCTCATGCTGTTCCCCCCTCTGCCTCCTTCTCCCCCCCCTCCCCCTTCCCCCTCGCCCCTCTCCCCTCGCCCCTGTGCACAGAGCCCACAGTGCAGGAGACGCTGGCAGGATGGCTGGCAGAGGGCTCCGCTCCGCACATCTCCCTTCCCTTATCTCATGCTGTCTGTCCCCACCTCTGTCTCCTTCTCTCCCCCCTCGCCTTGTGCACAGAGCCCACGGTGCAGGAGACGCTGGCAGGATGGCTGGCAGAAGGCTCCACCCAGTTTGAAGCCACCCTGGTGGTACGCTGTGCCGTGCCTTCACCGCACTGCACTGCACTGCACAGCACTACACTGCACTGCACCGCTCTGCACTGCACCACGGTGCTCCACACCTCATCGGACCGCAGCCCATTGCAGGCCACCATCTGATTGACACTGGCCCACTTTTACACGCCTCAAACAGCTTGCAATTTTTCCTTTCACACGAGCCGTGCCTTTACCGCACTGCACCGCACTGCACTGCAGCACGGTGCTCCACACCACATCGAACCGTAGCCCATTGCCTCCAGCACACCGAATTCCACCATCTGATTGACACTGGCCCACTTTTAGGCGCCTAAAAAAAGCTTGCGATTTTTCCTTTCACATGAGCTTGCATCGTCTCCCCTTCCCCACAAACGCCCTCCCTCTATACTGTATGCAGCGACTCCATTTGCTCTACCCCTTAGCACTAGCAGGAGGCAATTTCTCTGTCCTCACCCTCTCCTGCTTAACTACTGCAGGGAGTGACGTGGCAAGTTAGGCAAAGCAAACGTGCTCCTATCACTTCTATTCTTGCTCCTACCCTTTTGATTTTTGCTCCTATCTCTTCTATTCTTTACCTCAGGAAATCAGTGAGGGCGAGGAGCCGCAGGAGCAGCAGCAGACGCCGCAGGCAGTGACGCTGCAAGTGAGGCGCACCGACTTTGTGCTGCGCAAGGCCAAGAAGGCGCTTATCAAGGAGCCCTGGGGCAACCTTACAGCGGTGAGTGCTAGGGCATGCCTTAACATAGGGCGTGCATTGCAAGTGAGGCGCACGGACTTTGTGCTGCGTAAGGCCAAGGAGGCGTTTATCAAGGAGCCGTGGGGCAATCTCACAGCGGTGGGTGCTACTTAGGGTATGCCTTAACATAGTGCGTGCATTGCAAGTGAGGTACAAAGACCTGGGTGAAAAATAGGTGTTTATCACGGAACCATGGGCTAATCTCACTGCGGGCAGTGGTATGCTGTAGAGAAGAGAGTGCCTTGCAGTGCGCTTTTGAGTCGGCTCAAAGGCAGTGACGGTGCAAGTGAGGAGGGCGGGCTCTGTGTGCTGCGCAAGGCCAGGACGCCCTTTATCAACGAGCCGTGGATGGAGTGAGCTCACTGCGGTGAGTGTTTGAGGCGCCCACTCAGTACCACTGGTCTTGAGAGATTTGCATTCGCTTGTAAATCTCACTGACATGTGTCCCCAATCCCCCATCCCCCATCCCTCATCCCCCTGAGGTGGAGATGAGAGTCATGCATCGCATCTCACCCTTCTTCTTTTCCTTGCCTACTATCATCCCCATTACCTTGCCTTGCCTCCCCATTCCCCTCCCTCTCCCCATCCCCCCACCCCCTCTCCCCGCCTCTCCCCTCCCCCCAAATGGACATCAGCCAGTCGTGCATCACATCTCACTCGTCTCGCCCTCCCTTCCTCTCACCCTAACTCCCATCACCCCTCCCCCATGACTGCATTCTCAGTCAGTCATGCATCATGTCACTCTTCGTCACCTTCGCTCTCTCCTCTCAATTCGTCTTGCATGTCTTCTCGCCCCCCTCTTCCCTTCCTCTCACCCTAACCCCCCCTCAGGTGGAGATCAGTGTCATCCCATCCCATCCCATCCCATCCCATCGCATCGCATCTCATGTCGCTCTTCGTCACCTTCGCTCTCTCCTGTCAATTCATCATGCATCTCGTCTCTCCCTCCCTTTCCGTCCTCTCACCCCATCGCCCATCAGGTGGAGATCAGTGTCATGCACCGCATGTCGCTCTTCTTCATTCTCTCCGATGGCCGACAGCTCTTCCTTGACTTCAGGGATGCCAGGTCAGCACTTCCTTGATTTCAGGGATGCCAGGTCAGCTCTTCCTTGACTTCAAAGATGCCAGGTCAGTGCTCCTTCATCTCAGAAATCCTGAGCGATCTTCAAGCTCCTGATTTCAAGGACACACACGTCTCTCATCACACACACGGGTTGCTTTCCTTGTCCTAACTATCTGACCATACACGTGGTTGCCTCCCCACCTGTTCAATCTCTCCCTTTTTCTCTCCCTCCATCCATCCATCCCTCACCCGCGTTTGCCTCCCCATGTGCTTCCCACTTGAGCACCTCAGGACGAGGGACCTGGCGGCGCTGAGCATGCGACAGTTCAAGGCGAATGTGCATGAGAAGGTGAGAGGGGAGTGAGAGGATGGTAGGAGATGGTGAGAGGGGAGTGAGAGGATGGTGAGAGGAGTGTGAGCGTATGAGAAGCTGAGAGGGGCTTGGATGCGCTGTGCATGCGGCAGTTGAAGGCGAACGTGCATGAGAAGGTGAGAGGGGAGTGGAAAGATGAGAGGGAAGGTAGAGAAGGTGAGGGGACAGTGGGATGTTGAGAGGATGGGGTGAGGACGAGAGGGTGAAAGGAGGGTGAGAAACCGAAAAGGAGAGAAGGTGAAAGGAGGGTGAGAGATTGAAAGGAGGAGAGTGTGAGAGGTTGATGAGAGGTGGAGATGGGGCTATGACAGAGACAGGAGAAACAGATCAGTCACTAGTGTGTGCCAATGAAAAGCGTGTGTTATGGCCATGAGCTGTGGTGGTTGTGGCTATACAGGCACAATCATCACATTTGTCCCTCTCCTCTCCCTTCATTCCTCTCAATTCCATCATCTTTTCCTTCCTCTCAGGGCTCCTCGCGAAAGGGTCTTGGTTGGCTCGGGATCAAGAAGCCATGAGCCTTCCGAAAGCTCCAGTTGGTTACTGCCAAGGTTTTTCTCTGGGACATTTACCAAAACAATGTGGTTTCTTTTCTAGTTGGTCACCTTTAATTTAATTTATCGTAGTTTGTATAAAATTGCAAGGATACCAGATAATCGGTGCTTTGCATCAGTGGTGTGGCAGACTTCATGGAGATCTTATGGTGAAAGCAACATAATTGATTCAGAGGCTGAATGCGATTTGTCTAGCGACGGATGTATTGTTACTCTCATCAAGGTGTAGATGCATCTTTCTCTGGTGTTGTTCACAAGTCTTCGCCCATGTTGTGGTGCAGTGATTCCGCCGTGACTCACTCGTTTAGTCGTCTGACGTGTCAACCCAATCACCCACACAAATTCTGCGCTCTTGCCGAACCGCGGATCCCCCCGTTTCAGGCGCGAAAATTCAAATTTTCCGAATCGCATTGAGAAGCCAGAACCTGAGCAGGTAGATTTCCCGCGCAGTGCAACAGCAATTCGTTGCTGCTCCGAACCCTATCTTACCGTTCTAGAAAACAGAGGATCGTTCTGGAACCCAAAGCAACCAGACTAAAGTTAACTCTTCTCACATGCCCTCAGAACAGCAATAATCCAGGTTCAATTCAGTCCTCCCAGCCGTTTTCTGCCCTACCCTGTGCGTAATCGCCGTGCAATGCAAGCACTAGTATATGCGGACGACGCAATCTCTACCTTCCGTTCCCCTCTCGCTGCCCGTTAGCGAACAGTCTTCGCGTGCATGCCACGCAGCAACCAAGGAGGCAGGCAGGCAGGCAAGCTTGGCTTTTTCAGAAACGAACGCGGCTCGATCTCTCTGTTTCTTCTTTCGAATCAATTCCTCCCAGCTCCAGTCTCTCGATTGATTTCCGATAGCTTCTCCAACCTCATAGGCAGACGTTTCTTCGTACTCTCGACTCCACCCTAAATCGGCCCGTCAACTCCGTTACGAATCACCTTTTTCTCGTCGAGGTTTTACCAGAGCGTACTAGTAATACAACCAGAGCGGAGCGCAGTACATTCTAGAATCGCAAATATGGCTGGCAAGAAGGCACGGCGAAGCCCGGGGCCACTCAGGGACGGCATGGAAGGACCGATGCGGGCGGAGAAGCAGACAAGCCCCATGACACCGCCGTCGCGAATCCCTACCCCTGGGAAAATCGCACAGCTCTCCACCCCTCAGCCTTCTGTCCCTTTCTCCACGAACAACTCTGCATCCACCTCCGCGCACCCCGCCGCGACTCCCGCTCACACTCCTTCTCGTCTTCCCACTCCCCTCGCCGTTGCACCCCACTCGTCGTCCAAGGAAAACGAGCATCCTACAAATCACTTCTCCACTATCTCCTCTCCTCACTCCCTCTCGCCTTTCGCGGCAACCTCGCCCGCCGTCTCGGCGGCAGCTACAACCCCCACGCCGTCTCTGCCGTCCCGCCGCCGATCCCTCGGGAAGAGCACATCGAGCTCCACCACCGGCGCCCTTTCCGCCGCTGTTGGGGGCGCCATAGCCGCAATTGGCGCTAGCGCTGGCACTTTCGGCGGCGGCGCCGGCGGTGCTGCCAGCCCGGGGAGTCTCTTCGGCAACGGCAGTGGTGCCGGCGGCGGCATAGGCAGCGGCACGTGCAGTCCCGGGCAGTTTAAGTACTTCGTTGTGGACAGCTCCGGTACCCAGCAGCAGCCCGCGGCGTCGCAGTCGCACGCGCAGTCGCAGGACCAGTCGCACGCGGCGCAGCAGCCGCCGCCGCGTCGCCACAGCGGTCGCGTGGAGCGGTCGTCGCCGTCGCAGGCGATGATGACTCTCGCGAAGGCGAAGCGCAGTATCAGTCTTAACTCCTCGCGAGTCGAGGGCGCTCTTAACTCTGCCGCGCTTAATCCGCTCTTCGAAGTCCTCGCCGGCGCGCCGCGCTCCCCCGACTCGGCTGCGCACCGCGTCGCTCCCGGCTCCGGCGGTAAGGCGGCGGCTTACGGCAAGCCGGCTGCGGACCCGAAGGCGGGGAACGCGGACGCGGCTGCTGTGGCTGCTGCGGCGGCGGCGACGTCAGCGGCGGCTGCGTTTGCTGCGGCGAAGGCGGAAGCTGAGGCGGAAGAGGGGGCGGGAGAGGGGGAGGAGAAGGCGGAGAACGGAAAAGCGGAGGAAAATGGGAGCGAGGAGGGGGTTGAGGAGAAGGGTGGGGATGGGAGAGAAGAGCGTGGGACTAATGGGACTGCTCCACGTGGCAGTACCGCGCTCGTCGAGGAGAAGCAAGGAGATGCTATGGAGGGGGAGGGCGGTGAGGAGGAGAACGAGGAGAGGTTTTTTAACGGAAAGGTCGGCGAGGGGAAGGATGAGGGGAGCGAAACGGCCGAGGCAGGGGACGTGAAGGAGAAGGGTGTGGCAGCGACTGCGGAAGAGGCGGAAGAGGCGGAAGAGGCGGAAGAGGCGGAAGAGGCGGAAGAGGCGGAAGAGGCGGAAGAGGCGGAAGAGGCGGGGGAGACAGCGGAGGGGACAGGCGGCGGAGAGAGAGGCGCACGAGAGAGTATTGCAGAGGCGGCGGTTGTTGAAAAGACCAGTGGTGACGTGGACGGAAGGGAAGAGGTGAGGCGCCATTCGTACCGCCACCGCCACCACCACCGCAGCAACGTCAGCAGTGGTCGCAGCGGCCGCGGAAGCAGCTGGGCCAACGCGGGCGGAATCTTCCGCGCCATGTGCGCCGTTGTGCTTTCCGCGGCGTTCTTCCTCTCCGCCCACCGCCCCCACTCCGCCCTCTCCCCCGCGCTCTCCCTCCTCGAACCTGCCAGCCAGGTCTGGAAGACGTTCCTCCCTGCCTTGCCTGGAGCTTGGTTCGGCAATGGTGAAGAGGGCGGAGGGTCCAGGTTCGGGAATAGGCTCGGAGGCAGGCTCGGGGACGGCTGGAAGGCCGTTGCTGGCCGAACCTCGGTGCTTTGGGAAGTGAGCGGGCAGCAGCCAATGGGAGCGTTCCAAGGGATGAGCTGGGCGGCACTGGTTGGCGGGAAGCGAGGAGGAGATACGTCGGAAGTTGGGGTGGTAACTTCATTTGAAGTTTTGTCGGGTGTTTTTGAGAATTCTCAAAACCACCCTGATTCCTCGTGTGAGACTCAGCTTGCTGCTGCTGAGCAGGCCTCAGATCACGCGATGGTGCAACAAACTGGTAACTCTCTGGTTACCACAGCTTCGGACACTGAGAAACGTTCCGAGAGAAATCCTGAGCTGGTTACGGAGCAACAGCCTGCGAGTGTTACAGAGGTAGGGACAGCGGTCGAAGCTGCTGCTGTGGTTACCAAGCCAGGCTCTGAGATGGACGCTCCGACTGCTGCTGAGGCTCGGGAAGCCACTTCGTATGGTGCTGACGTGGATAATGCTGACGTGGTCGTGATGGAAGGTGAGGAGGGCGTGATAGAGTCGGAGGAACGATTCAGGAAAGTATCTCAGGATTCCGAGACAGCGTACGGGAATGCTGGTGAGAGCTCACCGTCAGCCGCACATGAGTGCTCTGCTGCTGCTGAAGTGGTTACCAGTGAGGTGGTTACCAGTGAGGTGGTTACCACTGCAGAGCAAGTGGCTGAACTTCCAATGGAGCCCAGCGCCACAGCCACTGCTACAGCCGAGGAAGTGGACATGGCAACGACTCTGACAGGAGCCGAGGCTACAGACGCAGCTACAGCTGACGAGGTGGAGGAGGCACGGTCCCTGCCAGAAGCAGAGGCTACAGCCGGTGAGGTAGAGGAGGCTACAGCCGCAGCTACAGCTAATGGGGTGGAGGAGGGGAGGTCCCTGCCGGAAGCGGAGGAGATGGCATGGGAGGCAGAGGAAGCGGCGCAGCAGCTTAGATCCGATGCTTCAGCTACAACTGCCACGGCTACAGCTGCAGTTGGTGAGGTGGAGAGCAAACCCCTTCCAGAAGCAGAGGAGCTGGCATGGGAGGCAGAGGAAGCGGAGCAGCAGCAACAGATGGTGATGACTGCTGTTGCTGCAGTGGCAGCTGCTGCCGCGGTGACTGCCGCCGCCAGTGCCGTTTTCCTGCGCTCTCGCACCTCACCTCCATCTGCTGCTGGGGTAGGACCGGCCACATCAGGCCCGGCTGCATCTGGCCAGGCTGCTTCCCACCCTGCTTTCTCCCATGGCCTAACTGCTTCGCACGGCGGCCCCACTGCCTCTGCTGCTGCTGCTGCCCGCAGGCAGAGCTTCAGCGGTCAGTCCTGGGGTGCTGCTGCTGGTGGTGCTGGCGCTGCTGCTAGCGGTGGTAATGGCGATGCTAGCGCTGGTGCTTGTGCTGCTCCTGCTGCAAGTGGTGGCAGAGCCGGTAGCTTTCTGGAGCCCCACCAGCAGCACTCCTGGCAGCAGCAGCAGCAGCAGCAGCAGCAGGCAGGAATGGCATGGCAGGCACCAGCAGTGAGTGGGGCAGGAGGGGTGGACGGAGGCTGGACGCTCAGCGAAGGGGCCAGGCTCGGGCGAACAGCCGGACCTGGGTTCAGCTCCGGCGCCGCCAGGCCTGCAGGCTCGGCAATCTCCGGGCTGAGGCCCGGGAACCAAGGCATGGAGTCTGTATGTGAGAGCACGAGCAACTACCATGGACCGCATGGGGGGAGAGTTGGCGGAGTGGGGGAGACGGCAAGGAGGCAGCAAGTGCTACAGGCGCAGCAGCAGCAATGGCAGCAGATGAGGCTGGGAAGGCAGGCAGGAGGCATGGGAGGCATGGGAGGCATGGGAGGCATGGGAGGAGGAGTTATGGGAGGGAGTGACCCCATGGGGATGGGGCAGATGGTGGCTGTGGGGGATGTGCTGGTGGCGGTGGGAGGCGATGGGGATGGGGGCGCGGATGGGGCCATGAGGTCCCCAGAGGTGAAGGAGTATGGCCGGTACAACGCATTCAAGCCTGTGGTCGTTAAAGAGGTGAGCCTTGACAAGTATAAGATTTGATACAGGTGGGTATTTTTCAAAACCTCGATAGCTATCCCAAAAAGCATTGGAATGCGTGGTCTTCCAACTCCTTTCCTCTCGCTCCCTCGCTCCCTCACTCCCCTCCCTGCAGGTCGCAGAGCAGCAGGTGGTGCGCATAGGGTGCACCCTGTGAAGCACCATTCGCATGCCTTGAGCGGCGCCATTCCCTTTTTTAGCAGATTCTATGCTGCAGGGGGCACTCTGTATTCATGCACCCTTTTCCCCCTCTCCTTATCTCTCCCCGCAACCAACCTCAGGGCTCGGAGCAGCAGGTAGGCTTGACTCGGGTGAAGCGCTCCAGCCATAGAGGAGTTATTTGTTAGACTTCTCAAAAAGGGTGAAGCGCTCCAACCGAGTCAGCCATATCCGCATGTCCCCGACCGGCGCCACGCCACTCCCTCTGCCACTTTCTTCTCCATTACCCCCCTCCCCTTGCCTTCTCCTCTCCCCCTTCTCCTCTCCCCTTCTCCTCTCCCCCTTCTCCTCTCCCTCATCCATATGAAGCGCTCTAGCCACATCCGCGTGAGCGGACTGGTGATCCATGACTCACCCCGTCGTCTCCCCCTTTTCCGTCTTCCCTCCCTCCCCATGGCAGGGCGCGGAGCAGCAAGTGGTGCTGACCCCTGTGAAGCGCTCCAGCCGCATCCGCATGTCCATGAGTGGCGCCACTCCCTCAGCCAGTGCATACTCGCAGCCCACCAGCAGCTATGCCGGGGGTGTGAACCACGGGGTTGTCAACAGGCCCTGAGGCCATGTTACCATCTGGTGCTGTTACTGTTGGTAACATCCGCATGACCATGAGTGGCGCCACTCCCTCGGCCAGTGCATACTCGCAGCCCACCAGCAGCTATGCGGGGGGGGGTGAATCATGGTGTGGTGAACAGGCCGTGAATGGCACCATCATCGATTGATGCGCATTGCCATGCAGGCTCATGAATCTGGCATGTCGGTGCAGGACGTTTGAGAATTGTTAGAAATCTCAAAAATCACCTACTGTGCCGGGGAGTCCGGGTCCGGGGTAACTTGCTGTGGGAGGGATGGGGTAGGTTATAGGTATGTAGAGAAATTATGGGCTACTGAAGTCTAGGAGTTGGTGCAAGGACCTCGCTTGCTTTTGAGACACCTCAAAAGCGCGCCCTTTTGTTGTGCAAGGTCGGGTAGGTATATACTATTATCTTATGTAGGCTTTACTACTTATCGCCAACAACACTTAATGTAATGCTTGAAACGAATCTCATTGCAGTTTTTGCATCAAAGCTGATGCTTTGTGCCCTAAGGGCGTATCCCCTCTAATGCAATGGTACACCCTCTCATGTACCATCTGCATTCTATCTGCTTTTTATCTGACTGACTCTATCAATCCATAAATGCAACCGGAATGGTCATCACTTTTGCGCTTAGTGAATGCCCTCAGCAGATATACATACCGTATCGCATAAAAAATCAAGCAACCCAGAGGTTTCACATCAACGGTCATCCTCACTTCTATAACCGAACAGCCCCCAAAACCAACCCAAAAAGCCAGTTCCACTAGGCTCCGGAGGCAATCGCAGGTGCCCATCCTCAGGGTCGGACGTTAGGTTTGGAAACGTCCGAACCACAGTCCGAGCAGAGTTGAGCACCCTATAGTCAACTACAACCTCCATATAGGGGTCAAAAACAGGCTCCGAGACCCCCATGATTTCCGCATACGTGTCAAACCATGTAGTGCCTGGTTGCCAGAGGCCCAGGAAGTCCTCTAACCGGTACAGCTTATAAAGGGTACGGAGAGGGTTGAAGAACCCTGGGGTTTGCTCGTTGGTGGCGATGTACAGAGTGCGTCCAGGTGCAACGAACTGGGGGAGCTTCTTCAAGAGCCTGGAGGAGGGACAGCAACGATTAAGGGGAAAAGGAAGTGAGCGGCGATGTACAGAGTGCGTCCAGGTGCAACGGACTGGGGGGGCTTCTTAAGAAGGCTGGGAGATGGGGGGGGGCAAGGGAGGAGAGGAGACATGCAATGAGCATATGTCCAGGTGCAATGAACTGGGGGAGCTTCTTCAAGAGGCTGGAGAAGGGGACAGCAGAGTTTGGAGAGAGAGCAGGAATAAGGAGAGGGGCATGAATGGCAATGTGCAGAGTGTGCACAGGTGCAACGAACTGGGGGAGCTTCTTAGCAAGGCTGAAGGATGGGGAGTGGGGAGAGGGGGGAAAGGATCGGGGGGAGGAAGAGGGGGAGGGGGGAGGGGGTGGGGGAGCAGAGAGAGCATAGGTGTGTTTGTTTTTTAAAAGGTGCAGTGCTCAGTATAGTTGGTTAAGAGATATCCCAGAGAGGTTCAATGCAGCATGCGGGCAGGCAGGCATGCGCTCGAGCACTCAGCTCGTCTCCGATTTTGCAGGGTGTTTTTGAGTCGACTAAAAAATCAATCTCAAAAGCAACCAGGTCGTCACCCCTCTCCCCTCCACTAATGTGGAGCACGTTAGTCCACTCAGTGTGTTTGAGCTGAGCTGAGTCGACTCTGAAGCCCACCAACTCAGAGCACTCAGCTGAAGTCCACTCTCTGCTTTCAGCTTGTTCCTCCTGCTCACACGCAGTGAGATTCCACAGCAGCAGCACTGAGCGGGGCATTGATGACTGAGGCACTCACTGAGGGCGCAGGCGGAAGCCGCATCATCTTACACCAGATAAGCTATACACCAGATACTCTATACACCAGATAAGCTATACACCAGATAAGCTAGCAAAACCATGCAGGTGAGGACACATCGAGGATAACGAGCCGGGGGCTATACACCAGATACTCTATACAACAGATAAGCTATACACCAGATAAGCTAGCAAAACCATGCAGGTGAGGACACATCGAGGATAACGAGCCGGGGGCTATACACCAGATACTCTATACACCAGATAAGCTATACACCAGATACTCTATACACCAGATAAGCTATACACCAGATAAGCTAGCAAAACCATGCAGGGGAGGACACATCGAGGATACATCATGCACTCACGCCGGGGGTCTGGAGTCTCTATCCATATGCAGCCACCGCTTGGGGTTCAGTTTGTCGCCTCTCCTCACATGCATGGCATCCTAGTCAACCCCGGTTCATGGAGGGGGATCGATATCTAGAGCACTCAAACACCCATCATGCACTCACGCGGGGGGTCTGGTGTCTCTGTCGAGGTGCGGCCACAGCTTGGGGTTGAGCTTATCCCCCCGCCGCACATGCACGGCGTCATAGTCACCCCCGTTTATGGCCTGCGATATCTCCCCTGCCAGCGCTAGCAGCTCCGGCCTGTGAAGGATGGCGCTGTGGTTGCTCCCAATGGGGTAGTCCTTCTGTTTGAAGGGGGGGAGGGAGAGGGCAGAGGGGAAAGGGATGTGGGAGAGGGAGACAAGGGAACTGACGTGCCTCCCCCACTCATGCCATCGACACCTCCCCTGCCAGTGCCTGAGAAGAATGGCACTGTGGTTGCTCCCGATGGGCTAGTCCTCCTGTTGGGGGTGAGGGAAAGGGAAGGAGGGGTTGTCAAATTAGTGGAGTCAATTTTGATCATTCTCGAAAATGGTTCACGGGCACTCCCATCTCCATCGTAATACGCTTCATCATGTACACTCCATCATATAAACCTCTTCATGTACACCCCATCGTTTACATCTCCATCATATACACTTCATCATGTACACTCCATATATATATCTCCATCAGATACACTTGTTCATGTACAAATCAGCATACATAAACTTCGTCACAAAAAGCTACATCATATCATTTAGTGGCTCCTCCTTTTCGCAGTCACTCCATCACATACCCATGCCAGTCACCACACTCACACTCACACTCACACTCACCTCGTCGCGTGAAGATCTGACTTCTGAGTCGACTCAAAAACCGCACTCACCTCGTGGCGTGGCTTTGGCTGATAGCGCATGCGGACAAGGCGTATTTCATTGCGGTGCGTGTAATCCCCCTCTCACACTGCTCATGCCAATCACACATACCCATACACACCCATACACACCCACACACACCCATACTCACCCACACACACCCACACACACCCACACACACCCACACACACCCATACACACCCACATACACCCACACACACCCATACACACCCACATACACACATACACACCCATACACACCCACACATACCCACACATACCCATACACACCCATACACACCCACACACACCCACACGCACCCACACACACCCATACACACCCACACACACCCACACGTACCTATGCACACCCATACACGCCCACACACACCCATACATACCCACACACCCACACACTCCTCACACTCACTCACGTACCTCATGGCGTGGCTTCGAATGGAACGGGCTGAACTCGCACGCAGAAAAGCCGTAATTCACCGCCCGGATGATCAGCGCAGTGTCGTCATCGCCCACCAGCCTCCTTGTCCTCACTCGCCCCTGCACCACCCGCACAGGAAACCGCAACGAGCCTTCCTCCTCTCCTCCCCCGCTCGCCCCTCTCCCCTCTGCCTCCCCGCTTGCCCCTCCCCCTTCCGCTGCTCCCCCTGCATCTTCCACCTTCCCCCCATCTCCTCCCCCATCCCGCCTCCCCAGCCCCGCCTGCCACTTAGCGGCCTCTTCAAGAAAGCCCTGCAGGGGGGTGAAGCGGACGGCGCTGGGGGGAAGGGGGAAAAGGGGGGGGCATGGGGGGATGAGAAGGGCGGAAGGGGTGGGGGGGAAGAGGAGGGGGGAGGTGCGAGATGCGGGGTGGGAGGAATGGGGAGCAAGGGCAGAGGGGCCTGGGGAGTGGCATGAGAGTGTGAGTGAAGGGGAGGAGGCAGGCTTACCTAAGAGATTTTAGGTCGTAGTAGACGTGGATGGGGTTCACTTGGTATTTCCCCTCGTTATGCAGTCCGTTAATGCACAACCCCATATCGAGTACAAGCGTGCGATTCAGAACCGCGGCCTCTGCGATTCTGCACGACAGGCTGCGATGAAAGTGGCGAATCCCGGCACAAAAATCACGGTGCCCCGTGACGAAAAGATACCGGCCGTTTGGATCGAAGTATTCCTGACGGCTAACCGGCAGCCATCGCGTCTCCCACCAACTCCTTCTGCCGCTTTCGCGCGGCTTCAGCAGTTCCTGGATCGCCGGCGAATCTAACGGCGAGAGGATCCGGCCGTTAATCGGGACGGTCACCGTCTCGAGCGCCTGTTTAACTCTAGCTTTCTTGGACATGTGCGAGGAGCAGGGAACACCTAGTGCCCTACACCGCCTCTGCCTCTTCCTCTTATCCTCTCTCTGATTCTCCTTTTCCTCGTTCGACTCTGCGTTGCTGCTCTCCAGCTTGCTCTCCTTCTGAGGCGCCTCAAATATCTTTTCCTCTTGCTCGTTCGACTCTGTATTGCTCCTCTCCAGCTCGCTCTCCTTCTTTCTCCGCCTCCTCCCATCCTTCGCCTCTTTTTTCGCCGCCTCTTCGCTCCGCTTTTTCCCCCTATCCGTCGTCTGACTTCCCCTCTCCTCTCTCGTCTCCTGTCGTCGCCCTTCGCTGCTTACGTCCCCTCCGCTCGTCGCTCGCTTACTCGTCACTCCATCGCCCCTCCCTTTTCTCGTTCCCTTCCCCTCCTCTTCCTCTTCCCCCTCCTCCTCCTCCGCGTCCCCTTCCTCCCGCGCCTGCTCCACGTCCCCTCCTTGGGAATCCCGCGCGCCTCTCGCGCGCCCTTCAGTAGTTCCGCCATCTTCCGCTTTCTCACTTTCCGCGAGCTCCCCCTCCCCCACTTGCTCCCCCTCCCCCTCTTGCTCCCCCTCCCCGACTCGTTCCGCGTCCGGGGAGTCCCCGCTGCTGTCGCCATCTTCCCCATTCCGCGCAAGCTCCCCCTCCTCTTCCGCCCACCCGCTCTCTTTCCGCCCCCATTCTATCCGCTCAACCAACACTCCGCCTTTTCCCTCCCCCCCGCGAGTGCCCACACTCTGATTCCCTCCTTCATCCTCGTTAGAAGTCCAGCTGCGATCCACCAATATCGAATCCACCGCGTTGATCCCCGATTCGCCTGCCACGTGACCTTCCAGAATTGGCCAGCGCGCGAGCAGCACGATAGAGAGGGCGAGAAGCAGGACGATCGGCAGCAGCGGAAGCCGAGAGGATGATGGCGGAACTCGAGAGGATGATAGTGGTTGCTTGTACGCGACGCGGGTCGGCGAAGGGATCATTGCAGCCATAAGGCAAAGTCGTTTTAACATAAATGCCTATCAGCCGCTTCTCGCGAGTGTGTCGTTCGCGCGTCGCTTCTCGTAACGGCCTTCTACTCTACGTCACCTGCTGCAGGTGCGCGTCGTTCTCTAAGTATCCCACCTGCTGTAGGTGTTTCTTGAGAAATCCTTACAAAACACCTATAGAAGACTCTAATAGCTGGGCCTTTCTTTCTCAAGACGCCTCAGACGCCGTCGAAAAAATCCGACAGCTCTAGAAGGCTTACTCCTCCCTCCGACAAATCTACCAGAGGCGTTGTGCTCAGCCGGCTAACGGCCGGCAAGAAAGTGGTATGTCTCAGGCGCATGTGCTTCATTACTGTTGCCGCCGCATTCAACTACAAAGCGGACGGATCGGCATTCATTGACAAGTCTCAGGGGATCATCGCTGACGCGACGATGAAAAAACACGCGAGTGCGGTCTCGCGAGGATGGCTGACCAGCAGTCACCAGCTTGGTAGTTAGTTGGCTGGGATTCCCAGGTCGAAGACTCTGTGCAGTGCAGTCACCAGCCAGCATGTTCTCTCTCTGGTGTGGTGGAGACCAGCAGCAGATCGGCGGGCAGCCGGGGGCGAACATGCTGGCTGGTTCTCAAAATCTAACCCTACCAACCACACTTGACCACGGTAAACTGTATTTGAAAAGCGAAAAAACACACCGCCATCTGTCTCGCTACAGGTTTGATTTCAGCCAGTCGACGATGTTCCACACCAGATCGTGTCACGCAAGACTCACGACACGACCAACGGGGGACCGTGAATCCACGGCGACGCGATGCCACGCGGTCCGACACAAAAGACTCGCAGATTCCGTTTCGTCTCGCTCGCTTATCGCTGGCATCTGCCCACATTTTCCGTTTCGTCTCCTTTCGTCTAGACGTGCGGTCAGCGCACCGTGATGCTGGTGTGAAGCACAGAAAGGCGCCCAAAGCCAGAGCATGTCAGACCAAACAAGCAGCTTCGATGGGTGCCACGGCCAGAATGACTTTCACTGTAGAGTTACAATGTGTCTTAGTTTTGTGGTGGAGCTATAAACCTCTTCTAGTGGCCTAATGCAACTTTAATACGATTGCTACGAGCACACATGCCTACAAAGCGCTAACAAGATTATTTCCCCATATAATACGTTTTATCGGAGTTCCATTTCTGTCATGTTACTCGTTTAGTTTCTAGTGGACCATTTAACCTTAATACGCATGATGTAATGTGTCAGATATGATCACCATGTTAATGTTTTACATGGTCATCTCAACCAGACAAAGGTCTTTAATAGATGGTAAGGTTGTGTTTTTTTTTTTTCAAAAACAGCATCCGAATCGAACATTCACCGCATTTTACCACGCGTTTATTTATATAAAACGCAGTTCAACACATCATACCGCGTTCAGCCGTTTTGAAAGGTCGACCATGTAGTGTGTTCCATCTGCCATTTTTGAAATGTTCCACGCCCTTAGATCCATAGCAAGCCCCCAACTTGGTTTTCGGCTTGTCTGATTCATCAAGACTTGCCTGCCATCTCTTAATATGGCCTTCAGAGTCGCCCCATAAAAAAAGTCTGAAAATCAGAGTAGCAAGAGATTTTTTGTCTAATTAATCAGAGTTACCATTGTTTTTAACTCTGATTTCAAAGTTGGTGTTTCGCACATTACTTCTCCCTTCCCTTCCCAACCGTTGCCCTCATACTTCTGCCGTGCACTAGCAATCAGTGTTCTGGCGACAACACAGAATTTTACGCCACACTAGACCCGGCCCCGCGCCAACGCAAGTTCAATTGATCAGCAAGGCTGATGGCGAGGCTGTACTTATCAGAATTGAAGAATGACTAGAAGGCATGAGTACAAGGGTATATGACCTAATGGCTGTACCCTCTAAGGCACAAACCTATACAGTATATACAAACATAACAATATATGTTTGACACACCCCCTAGACTGCATAGGGGCAGTTCCTGACATGAGTGCGAGCAACTCAGAGTGGCACTACTAGTCCAACCTCTGAGGTAAGGGTCTAAAGACCAGTCAAACGAGTACCGACCAATGCAAGAGCAAGTCCAGGGCGGCCAGCGGAGCTCCTGTGCCGCCATGGCACCGGCGTAGATCTCGGCCTCACAGCTGGATTGAGCAACAGACGAGGAACGAGTAGCTCTCCACGAGACACCACCTGAACCAAGGCTAAAGCAGTAGCCCTGCGATAACCTGAGGGTCTCGGCGTCGTCTGCCCAAGAAGAGTCTGTGTGCCCAGTAAGGACCACAGGCCTGCGTCCTCCCAGCACTAACCCCATGCCTGATGTACTAGCAAGATAACGCAAAACCCTTTAGTTGCTGACCAGTGCTGAGGTCGGTGTCTACCTGTGGCCACAAAGCGAGCCAGGATGCTGAGAGGGTATGCGAGATCTGGACGAGTGCAAGTCATCAGGTACATGAGGCAACCCACCACCTCTGCGTAAGGACCACTGGGCTCTGCCGACTCCTCAGGAACTGGAGCAGAGAGCCTGTGATCCACTGGAAGAGGTGTGGGCTGTGCAGAGGAGAACTGAAGACAGAACCTCTGAAGGACCTGGTGCACCAAGTGTGACTGTATGAGAGTGATGGTGCGCGCTGCTCTCTCCCTGGAGATCTGTAGGCCCAAGTAGTGGCGCAGCTCTCCTGGGTAAGTGTAGGTGTGTCTCTTCAGCAGCTCAGCCTTCACGAAGGCCAGTGCGACGGTGTCTGCAATGGCAAAGACCAGATTGTCTACGTAAGCAAGGATGTAGAATGGAGTCTGGCCAGAACGAACGAAGAGCGAGGGGTCTGCAGAGGACGGAAAGAACGGCAAGTCTGCAAGGGTAGCACGCAGCGTGTCGTGCCACTCACGGGGCGCCTCTTGCAAGCTGTAGACTGGGCACTGAAGGAGCCACTGGGTCCCAAGAGGGAAGGTACCAGTGAAACCCTGGGGGCGGCGCAGGTAGACCTGCTCGTGTAGACTGCCCTGAAGAAACGCAGTGGAGAATTCGAGGGAGTGTAACTCGTAGTCACGCTGTGCGGCTACGTGTAGCAGTGCCCGAAGAGTAGTCATCTTCGGGGTCGGGGCGAAAGTCTGAAAGAAGTCCACCCCCTCATGCTGACTGAAGCCTCTAGCCACGTAACGCACCTTGAAGACATGCGTCTCTCTAGGAGGGCGCTTCACCTTGAAGAGCCAGCGGCCATCGACTACGTTCACCCCAGGTGGGGGAACTGCGTCGACGTAGGTGCCGGCGGATCTCCAAGATGCCATCTCCAAGTCCATGGCACCTATCCACTGCGAAGCCCAAGGTCATGAGGTCGCCTCAGCGTAAGTGCGAGGGGTCGGGATGTCGAAAGCGTCTGGGTCACCCTCAGGGACTAGCAGCATGGAACAGAGATGGGGAGCAGCCTCGGAGAGGAAAGCAAGCTCGTACTGGCAGTCCTCCAGGATGTCACTGCCGAGGGCAGGAGCACCCCCGACAGACGGAGGACAGGCAGGGTCAGAGATCAGAGCGGTGGCGTAGTTAAGGCGGCGGGTAGAGGCGAAGTCAGCAACCGCAACGACAAGAGCGTCAAGACACGAGACCAGAATAGACGGGTCGGTAACGAGAGAGGCAAGGACCCGAGGAACAAGAGGACGAGCGGCGCGAAGGTAGTCAGATAGAGGGAGAGGTGCAACAACAAGGGAGGACGGAGGAGGCGACAGTAGGAGGGGAGGATGAGACGCGTGGGAACGAAGCAACATAGGGTGAGCGCTCGGGACAGGGGAGACGGGGCGAGCACGGGAGGGACGGCGAGACCAGACGTGAGACGGGGGAGTCGGGTCAGGAGACAAAGGAGGGGATGCAAGAGGGGAACGAGGGGGAAGACGAACCGGAGACGAGTCCGGAGGAGGGAACATAGGGCTGTAGATAGGAAGAGGAGGAGACGGTAGGAGAGGCACAGACGCGTGGTCAGGGGACGGAAGGTCGAGCAGGCGAAGGGCTGACACCGGCGGTGACTGCTGCTGCGGCAGCACGACACCGATACCTGGACCGCAAGCTGCTCCACGGCTACCTCCGGAACACCCCACTCCAGCACCCCCAGAAGGAACACCCCCAGAGCTCGAAACCGCTCCAGCACCGATACCAACCCCAGGCCCGCCGGGACAAGCCACGACAGGAACCCCAGGTCGAATACCCACCCCAACGCAAGCACCCCGAGAGGCAACGAATTGCTGCTGCGACGGCTGCGGCGACGTCTGCGGGGGCGGCGGCGGCGATGGCTGCGGCAGCTGTGACAGCGGCGGCGATGGTGGCTGCGGAGGCGGCAGAGGAGGAGACACCTGGGGAGGGGCAGGCGGCGAGGACTACGCCGTAGGACCACTAGAGTCAGCAAACTCCTCGACCGGGACAACCGACGTGAGGGGGATGACGTGAGACACACCAAACGGGGTAGGATGTGGAGGGGGAGGGGGAGGGGCAGGGGCCACCAGGGAAGGGGGGGCCAGGAACAGGGGGGGAGTAACCAGGGGACCACGATGGGGGAAGCGACGGTAGAAGGAGACGGACTCGTCAAAGGTGACGTCACGGGAGTGAAAGAAACGGTGAGACGGTGGGTGGTAGAAGTGCCAGTCAGACGAGTCGAGCGGGAAACCAAGGAAGACACAGGGGACGGTGCGGGCAGTGAGCTTGTCCGGGCCAGAGGCACGGACGTGAGCAAGGCAGCCCCAGACGTGGAATGCAGACGCGTCACCAGGAGACCCGAACCAAAGAAGGGTCGGCGAAACCTGCGGCTGCTGGGGGTGCGGCCACAGGTTAAGCTAGTGAGCTGCGTAGCGAACGGCGAACGGCCACAAAAATATGGTGCACCGGCATGGATCATGGAGGTACGAGCCACCTCCATGACCAAACCGATGCGTCGCTCAGCGACCCCATTCTGCTGCGGGGAGTCCGGCAAGGTGAACGTCTGGGTGATGCCCTCCGCACGACAGAAACGACCAAGGACACCAGAGGCAAACTCGTCACCACAGTCGGAGTGGAGACGCAGGAGAGGGAGACCGCGGTGGACACGCGCGAAGAGAAGCCACGGGACGAGAACGTCCAGCACGTCGGCCTTTTGCTCCATGGGAAACACCGTGGTGTAGCGCGTGTAGTCGTCGAAAAACACAAGGAAGTAGCGCTCTCGATGCGGCCCATGGTTGGGGGCGGGGCCCCAGACGTCCATGTGCAGGGTCTGTAGCGGTGCGGTGGTGGTGGGGAACGAGGGCACGGCAGAGCTGGCCCTCGACACAGGGCATGCACGGTGGTGCTGGGGAGGAGGGCAACTCGAGGAAGGACCCTGGGAGACCTAGGACAAGACCGTGCTGGGACATGTGACGCAAACGCGGGAGTGCAGGGTGACCTAGACGGTGGTGCCACAGGAGTGTCGGGTGAGTGAGCGACCGACAGGAGCAGGCAGCAGCAACCTGGGTAGACGCAGCCACCTGAGGAGACGTCCCAACCGAGGGGGTC